ACAGAATGCTGGAAAGTCAAATGGGGATTAGCCATCCACACAATTTGATTCTATTACATCTATGAAATACCAGTGTTCTCATGGTAGAGAGAACACCTAAAGATATTGACATAAAGCCAGTTGGTGAAGCATAACTACACCTGGATGCAGGGAGGAATAATTTTGGTCAGTCAGAGGAGCACTTGTGCCTTTCCCCCAACAGCCCACCATAACCATCCACTACCAACAACACAGCACCCAAGGTGCAAAAATAATCCTTGCCTTAGTATGACATATGAACAGACAAAATATGGTTTGTGTCCAGAATCAGAAACTATTGTTCAATTAACATTTCCTTCATTTGATCACTGTGGAGGAACAAAATATTCCTGCAACCCTGCAACCAACAGCTGTGGAAGAAGTCAAGCAAGCTGGAAGAAGCAAGACTCACTGCTTTTATGCCTCTGCCATTCTGCTAGCAAGGGAGGAAACTACTACAGACGCAAAGTGTGGTGCCAGACCTCTCCTCCTTCCACCTTTTTTAGTCTCCTCCAAGCCACTGTGATGAGACCCTCTAATTTATTTATTTATTTATTTATTTGATTTATATACCGCCCATTTGGCAGCCAAAGCCACTCTGGGCGGTTTACAATGTGTGATATAAAACAACAAAGTAGCAAAATAGCAAATAACAACATCAATACATTAGTGGCCGCAAATTAAACGTCAAAAAGTGCAGTGAGGATAAAATTATAATACAATAAATACAATTAAAAGCACAGAAAAATATAAAAACATGGAGCATGGCAGTATGATAGACGTTATATTATTGGATACTATTGTATCAGGGTGTTGTTTGTTCAGGGAAGACCTGTCTAAATAGATAGTTTTTTAGTAGCTTTTTCAATGGTGCCCAGTGAAGGGGCCAGGCTGACTTTGGGCGGAAGACAGTTCCATAATTGTGGCACTACTGCCGAGAAGGCCCAATTTCTAGTGGTATTTTTCCAGGCCTCTCTCGGGGACAAAACTCTCAGCTGCCCTGCCTGTGATGGGCAGACCTAACTGGAAGGAGGTGCTTGGCCAGATATCAAGGTCCCAAACCATTTAGGGCCTTATAGGTTAGAACCATCACCTTGAAACTGGTACGGAAGCAATCAGGTAGCCAGTGTGAGATGGCCAGGGTGGGGGACATATGTTGGTATTTTCTAACCCCACTCAGAAGTCTGGCCGCTACACGCTGGATGCGTCGCAGTCTCAAAAGCAGCTCCATGTAGAGGGCATTACAGTAGTCTAATCTCAAGACTACTAGCGCATGGATCAGCATGGTGAGGAACCCGGTGTCAAGGTAGGGATGTAGCTGGGTGATCTGCTTTAGGTGAAAATAAGCGGACTGGACCACAGATGCTGAGATGTTAGCTGGGCGATCTGCTTTAGGTGGAAATAAGCGGACTGGACCACAGATGCTATCTGAGATGTTATTGATAGTGATGGGTCCAAAAGCATGCCCAAGCTGCAAACCTCATCCTTCATGGAAAGAGTTCCCCCCAAAAAAGATAGGGAGGCACCCAGACCACAGACACTAGGGGACCCCGCCTGCAGGATTTCCGTCTTGTCCAGGTTCAGCCTCAGTCTGTTGTCCCTCATCCATCCCAGCACTGCATCCAGGCAGCGCTCAAGAGACGGGACGGCATCCATTGCAGAAGGATGGAAGGAGAGATAGAGCTAAGCTTCATCTGTGTACTGGTGACACAAAGGTCTAAAACTCCTGATGACCTCCCCCAGAGGCCTCATATAGACATTAAACAGCATTGGGGAGATGACTGACCCCTGCGGGACTCTACAACTGAGAGTCCATGGCGCGGACAACATCTCCCCAAGCTGAACTCTCTGAGGACGGTGTTCCAGGAAGGATCAGAGCCAGGCAAAAGCCTGACCACCGATCCCCAACCCTGAGAGCTTCCCCAGGAGGATACTGTGGTCAACGGTATCAAAAGTGGTTGAAAGGTCGAGGAGGACCAGCAGGGATGTTCTCCCCTGTCAGCCTCCCTCAAGAGGTCATTTTGTACATATAATTCCTGAAGATCAGTCAGGCTTTCTGCCAAAAAGACAGATGAGAAAAAATATTAGGATAATATTAAATGTGTTAGAATATTATGAGACACAACCAGGAAGAGCGATGGCCTTTGACAACATCAATTGGGATTTCATGTTAAAGCAATTAAAATTATGGAAGCAGCAAAGGACTGTGTTGAAGCAATATGGACTATCTATAGACAACAGAAAGAGAAGATCAGAATAAATTGAGAATTTACAAGAATATAAAAATGCAAAAAGGAACAAGACAAGGATGCCCATTATCTCCTTTACTGTTTGTACTATTTATCGAAACATTATTACAAGTTAGACAGAACACAGATATAAAAGGACTCAAAATAAGAGGGGAAGAATATAAAATACAGGCATTTGCAGATGACATGGTCTTTTTTCTACAGGATTTGATAAATTCAATAGAGACATTAACAGAAATAATAAAAAATTTTTGGAGAAGTATCTCGACTAAAAGTAAATAAACAAACAACACAAATTTTGACTAAAAATATGACGAAAGAGATCCAATATTTTGTAGAAATAACAGGTTTTAACAAGAAAAAAATGAAATACCTAGGAATTCAGATTACAAAAAAATTTTTGATAAAGATAACTACATCAAACTACAACACAAATTTTGACTAAAAATATGACGAAAGAGATCCAATATTTTGTAGAAATAACAGGTTTTAACAAGAAAAAAATGAAATACCTAGGAATTCAGATTACAAAAAAATTTTTGATAAAGATAACTACATCAAACTAATTAGTATGATTGAAAAAGATCTTGAAAATGGTCAAAATTGCAATTATAATTTATGCGGATTCCAGCTGTGAAGATGAATATATTACCTAAACTGATGTTTCTTTTTCAGATCAGTTCTTACAAAACAATTAATACTTCAAGAATTTACAAAAATATAATTAGGTTGGTCTGGCAAGGGAAAAAAACCTAGAATAAAAATCAAAGCACTTCAAGATGTAAAACAAAGAGCAGGTTTTGGACTTCCATATTGGTTTTTATATTATAAAGCCTGTGCTCTAGTTTCGATAAAGGAGTGGATAGTTTTAGAAAATGACCGAATATTAAAACTAGGAGGACATGATTTAAATCTAGGATGGCACGCCTTCCTATGACAATAAACAATTTAAGAACCATCTGATCAGGAAAGTTTTGAACTGGTTATGGACTAAGATCTGGGAAGAAAATTACCAAAATGTTCCTAAATGGGTCTCACCAATGGAAGCATTTACACAACCAACATTAATGGAAAAGAGGAAACGCTTGAGATATAGAGATTTGTTAAAATATTAAAACTAGGAGGACATGAGTTAAATCTAGGATGGCACGCCTTCCTATGACAATAAACAATTTAAGAACCATCTGATCAGGAAAGTTTTGAACTGGTTATGGACTAAGATCTGGGAAGAAAATTACCAAAATGTTCCTAAATGGGTCTCACCAATGGGAGCATTTACACAACCAACATTAATGGAAAAGAAGAAAGGCTTGAGATATAGAGATTTGTTAAAAGACAACTTAAATATGAAATCAAGGAAAGAACTAGAAGAACAAGGTACAAGTTGGGTTTTTTCCAGATAGGCCTAATGAGTGTCTCCTTGGGATCCTGTGAGGTGGTGGCGGCCCTGCAGCGATCTAATGCTCATCTCATAGTGAATGAACAAAGTGAGGGGCAAGACCAAAGCAGAAAGGCAGCAGGCCAGATTTGTGTGTATGTAAGCCAATGTTCCAGATAGGCCTAATGAGTGTCTCCTTGGGATCCTGTGAGGTGGTGGCGGCCCTGCAGCGATCTAATGCTCATCTCATAGTGAATGAACAAAGTGAGGGGCAAGACCAAAGCAGAAAGGCAGCAGGCCAGATTTGTGTGCATGTAAGCCGAGAGCAAGGGGGACCCTGTGAGGTGGTGCCGGCCCTGCAGCAATCTAATGCTCATCTCATAGTGAATGAACAAAGTGAGGGGCAAGACCAAAGCAGAAAGGCAGCAGGCCAGATTTGTGTGTATGTAAGCCAATGAATGGTTCCTCATTCCTAAATCATGCATAAAATAAAATCATAAAGTAAAGTCTTATTTTAAGTGTGCTGCTTGTAACACTAAATTTTAATTATAATCAAATTTTATATAAATCTTTCATAAAGCTGCAGTCTCTTAGTATTGAACTGTTGACCTGAGATGTGCAAATATGTTTTAATTTGTGTAATTCTGTGTAAAGGTAAGTTTAATGGTTTAGCTAGTGACAGATTCTGAACTGTATTTTATTATATTTATTGTACACTAAGGTTTTTTCCTGTATGTTTAAGTTGTATGATGTGAACTGCCCAGATAGTATTTACACTAATGGGGCAGAATAGATGTAGAAATTATATACAGTGCTGCCTCGCTTAACGAGTGCACCATATAATGACGAAATCTCATAGCGATCCATTTTTTTGGATTGCTAATGCGATCGCTCAACAAGCTTTAGATAGGGAGAAATTCGCTTTGCGAAGATCGGTAAGCGTTTCGCTTACCGATCTTCGCAAAACAAAGCTCTGACGATCAGCTGTTTGGCGGACAAAATGGCCGTCGGAAGCCCCAAAATGGCCGCGTGCAGCGTTTTCGCGTCCTCCCCTCGCTTAACGAGGGCGCGAAAATGGCTGCCGGCCATAGGAAACCTCGCTGAACGGTGAGTAAAGGAGCCTTTTGGAACGCATTAAATGATGTTTAATGCGTTCCAATGGCTTTCCCTGTCCCGTTCAGCAATGTTTCGCTATAGCGAAGGTTAATCCGGAACGGAAGTATTTACACTAATGGGGCAGAATAGATGTAGAAATTATATATATATATATGAATGAATAAATATTGTTTGAAATTGGCCTTTACAATGTAGTACTGAATTAATACAACAGTCAGCAATCATCATATTTTACTTACTTGAAAAATTCTGTTTTCTCCTCCTCAGTTTTCAGTGTTAAACTGTTCAGAAAGCTCACAATTTCCAGGAAATCGTTCCTGAAATTTTTTAAAGAGGTCATTACTAATCAAGAACTAATAACAAGAAGTTACACGTGCTTAAAACAAAAAGCAATCCTCAAGCAGATTAAAATTGTTGCAAATAGATGTGCCAGAATGAATTATTTATACCTATAACCTTGATTCAGCAAAATGTACTTAAGAACTCATTTCACTCCAGGATCGTGTCAGTCGCAGAGAATGATTCTTCTTGTCTTGGCCCTAGATTGTATGTTCAAGTTCACCTAAGAACAATTCAAATTCCTGGCTTTAAACTACAGTTCTAAATAGGTTGGGTTTAACATTAGGCATCGGCCTGTTGTATTTCTTGGACTTTAGCCCCCAGAATTCAACAAGAATCCCCTGAGCCGGAATTCTCAGAGCTTTAGTGGAAGTGGGTGAGAGAGGCTAAACTCTATGGAAGCTATAAGGATTATAGACTGGAGGTCTATCTGCCTCTAGGGTATAGGGTGCCTTTCAAAAAAACTACCAGTTCTCTAACCCTCTAGAGCAGGGGTGTCCAACCTTTCACCTTCCCTGGGCCACGTTATAAGATGAAAATTTGGTTTGGGCCGCATGGGGGGCAGCCCTAGCTGTCCTCCGCAGCCCCGCCCCAAGCGCACTTACCGACAGCTGCCAGCTTCGACTCCGGTGGCTTTATGGGGCCGGGAGGGGGTCCACCTATTGGCGGGGACAGTGCAATGCAGTCACGCAGCCCCCCTGTCCCCTCCCACTCCTTCCTTCCCTCTCTCCCCCTCTACTGTTGTGACATGCCCCGGCCACATTCCGGCCGCAAGCGCCGGCAGTGTATCTTGAAACTTTGGAATTTCTTTAAAAATAAAAAATTGCACTGGGCCGCATTACGAGCTGACCTGGGCCGCATGCGGCCTTTGGGCCGCGGGTTGGACAAGCCTGCCCTAGAGCTTCCTCCCACTCCTTCCTTCCCTCTCTCCCCCTCTACTGTTGTGACATGCCCCGGCCACATTCCGGCCGCAAGCGCCGGCAGTGTATCTTGAAACTTTGGAATTTTTTTTTTAAAAAAAAATTGCACTGGGCCGCATTACGAGCTGACCTGGGCCGCATGCGGCCTTTGGGCCGCGGATTGGACAAGCCTGCCCTAGAGCTTCTATGGAGCTTTGTCACTCCCACTAAGTTCCTCTGCCTGTTTCATAGGAACTATCTTTTTAATTCCCTTCATTCTCCCCCTCTTGTAACTCAAAACGCATTTGAGGACTTTGATTTCTTGGTCAGCCCCCACCCCAGAATTCACCATGAATTTCCCCAGGCAGAATTTGGGTGGGGGGTTAATTGGCCAGTAAAACCAAGTCATCACATGAGTTATCAGTTATGAGCAGGGAGAGAATGAAGGCTCCATCAGCCTTTTTTTTTGGGGGGGGGTTTGATGGAAAGCTAAAGACTAAGTAGGATAGTATACACCACTGGTTCTTAACCTTGGGTTACTCAGGAGTTTTGGACTGCAACTCCCAGAAGCCTTCACCACCTGCTGTGCTGACTGGGGTTTCTGGGAGTTGCAGTTCAAAAGCATCTGAGTAACAAAGGTTAAGAACCACTGGTATACACTACTGGTTCTCAAACTGGGGTCCCCAGATGTTCTTGGACTGCAATTCTCAGAAGCCTTCACCACTCCCAGAAGCCTTCACACAATCCAAGAACATCTGGGGATTCAAGTTTGAGAACCACTGGTATACACAAAAATCCCATACCTATTCCAATACAATTAAGAAGACCCTGTCCTACTTTTATTTCTTCAGTCTACCCAGATCAGACTTCTAATACTGACTTCTGTGCACTAACACCATGACACACACACAACTATGCATTCCTTATTTGGTACCTCCTTTACTGAGATGTTGCCATGATCATATCTGAGCATCATCATAGTAGACATCTTGGGAAAGAATTGTTTGGAGCACTATAACTGGAGGTAATTTTCACTTTTTCACTGATAATTTCAGAAGAGAATTCCATACTGTTGTGAGCTTACAGTAAAAGAATACTGCAGATATTAGTTGAAACCCTGTTGTACTGCTATGCAAAAAGTGTAAATTTTGGAGGTGAACTGACTTACGTTAAGAAATACCTATGCACATTATCTGTTGTATACTGATTTTTGCAACTTAGTGTACAATCAACTTTCTCTCTAAACTGCATGTGTGCTCACGGTGCTGCATCAGTCCAGCACAGCCAGATTGATGTTGCTGCCAATTTGCTTCTATTTGTGGATGGAACCCTGCACATGAGGAGGGGTGGAGCCCTGCACAGCGCTAGCAGAAATTAGAGAGAACACTGAGCTCTATGTATAGTATCTATGAAGGTACCTTTATCTCAATCTGAGGCAATTGCCTCTAAAGATTACATCTTCTGTTTGGCAACACAACACAGCTAATGATACAATGATTCCATGACTGGCCAGTTACAATGTTATTTTCACCACAGGCTCTTGTAAAAATGGTGGGAACCTCCTCAGGTTCCAGGGCCCCTGTCAAACAAGGATACAGCATGAAAAGATCTCTTTCAGAAAGTTCTCACATTTTTCAATCTGTGGCCCCTTTGAAATATGCCAGGATCCCCAGAGGGCCAAATGGGCCCTGTTGAGAATGGCTGGTTTAGAAACCTAAGATTGCTTGGGTATCAAAAATAATGTATGTTGTGGTATCCCACAAATTAGGCTAGTTAGCACATGCTCTAGCAGTATGCTCACCTAAAGAATTCATGAGATAGCAGCCTGGACAATGAGTGGCGGCACACAGGATCTGGGTTTAGCAGAGCAGAGTGTAAGGTGTGCTGAAAGCTGGAAAGAACATCCTCTGAAACTGAAAAACACCGTTTAGTGATGAGATCAAAGCTTAACAATACTTTGAAGAGTAGTAATTAATGTTCTTGAGTAGCTAAAGAATATAGAAAGCAAATGGAATTAAGATATGAGCCCTGAGACAGAAAGTAAGCACCCAAGAAGATACAAAAAGATAGAAGATTAAGTTAGCTCTTTCTTTAGGATGCAGATAATTCTGGGAAGGTACCCTTAAAATAGCTGTCGGAGGAGAGCAGCAAACAAGTGACATGAGAAGAGACATGGAATTTCAGGCATCAAGTTGGTTCAAAGGGCAATCTAGTCCTCTGTCCTTTTTCCATTCTAGGCTATAGAAATCCCTTACCTAAATGGGACAGTCAGGTCATTGTTGCCCCACCTGAGATACTATCCCTAACAACAAACCATTGAACTGGTGCTCAATAATTTTCACATTACATCAGAAACTGTTACTCATATTCACCACAGTAGAATCCCAAGTGGAAGCACTTGGTACAGTAAATCCAAAACACTCAATGCCATTCACTGCTGGACTTAGTGTGTGGTATTTTGTCTGATAGTTACAGAATTGTAGAGCTGGAACTGAGTCCAACAGTCATCAAACCGAACCTCCAGCAAATTCTCAGCTATACTTCCTTGAGAAACTGCCATCCATCTTATGTTTAAAAACCTCCAGCAAAAGACTACAATGATGTCTTTTGCTGGAGTTTCTTTATCCATCTGTAAAGAAACAGACCCCAACATTTGCTTAAGACATTGTTTCCTAACTCTCTCAGTCTGTATGCAACTAACATATTACATAATCAAATTTAGCAATATCTAAGGAAAAATAATGGACAATTCTGGAATTCATGTTCTAGATTCTGCAAGAACATATTTTTTCTTTCAGAGGCAGTTCCTTGAAAGACAAAAATGTAACAAGATCTGTCTACTCCAGCATTTTGATTCCACAAGGACCACTCAACACCTCAGAGAGCACGGTAATCATGTCTCCCAGAAACATTCATAGAGATCATATATAGGAGTCATTGCTAGAGATGGTCACAAACCAGTTCATCTGGGTTCATCCCAGTTCATGAAGGTGGCAGCACAGGCGCTGATGCTCCCCTCCCCCACCTCCTCTGACTCAAAGAGCCACTCACTAGGCCCAGCTTGCTTTGTTTCTTCCACCTCCTCAACTGATGTTTCCAGTCCCGGCAACAGCTCCGGCTTCTTTGCCTCGTCCTCTTGGTTGATCTCTCATTTGAGCAAAAGGGTGAGGCAGAGAAGTCTGGGGTCTTAGTCCTAACTGGTAGATTAACCAGGGAGGCGGGAAAAAAAAGTAAGCTGGGCCCTTTCAGTGGCTGTTTGAGTCAGAGGAGGTAGGGAGCAGAGCAGCAGCACCTATGCTGCTGCCTTCACGAACTGGGACAAATCGGTTCATGCCCATCTCTAATCATTTCTAATTGCCACTGACAGTCTTATCCGCTATGAGCTTGTCTAGCCACTTTTTAAAATTATCCAGTGATTACTGTAACAGGCTCCACAAATTTAACTAAGAGTTGAAATGTAAAAGGGCATTTTGCTTCAAAGGATTCTTACCTTCTTCCTTTAAAAAAGTCAGCAAGTTTTCAACCATTATTCCAAATGAGTAAGCATCTCGAGAATGACCCTGTCCCTCAGGAAGAGGTTGGAAATCTGCAGACTAGACAAACAGGAATAAAATAATACAGCAGAAAGTGGTTTGCTCATCTTTGGACCCCCTCCTTTTAATTCACAAACATGTTATAGAATATTTATATTCTTCAACACTGGCCCTGGAAACATACTGCTTCCATTCGCCTGCTCTATGAGGTTTGCTCAGGAGCACTCCCTGAGGAGTTCTTCAGTATTTGTTGTTTAATCATCAACCAATTTAGAAAGGAAAAAATGACACTGGTCTAGAGTCTTTGCCTTGTTATTGTTATTACTTAACTATGTGCCTTATCACAGAAGCAAACAGTAAGAGTGGGAACTATTAATTTCAGAATTAATTTTGTGTGAGTTTGCACACCAAAACAAAGACAGTATTCTACTAGACTCCAGCTTGGTGTGGATGAAACAACATGCCGGCTCCAAATGTTTAAGGGGCCAACTACATTAGATGGTCAAATACCACGGCGGGATTTGCTTCGCTTACACAATGGGTGAATGTGAAGCCTTTTTTCTGTCTGCATGATGTACAAGACTGAATCAAACTGGGCCAGACTTTTTGCTGCCAAACAGGCTTTTTAAATCTGCCTATAGATTGGGCTGCAACTTTTTCATGTTGGAAGGTTTTAATTCGACTTTCCCCCTGCAGATGTTGTTGTAAAATCAGAGCCATGTCTGATTCACCAGCATTCACTTCTCCACCACCAAGCTACATTTTATTTTAGGGTAGAGCTTAATGCTAGATCACCTATGCACATGCAATTTTTTTAAGGGATAGGAAAATGAAGCAAGCAAGCCGAAATGAAAGCAAATCCCTGAGAGCGTTCCCACCACGATCAGAGACCTCCTGGGGGTCCCCCAGCGCTGCGATCAGACCCCCAGGAGGTCTCAGGTGGCGGCAGGAAAGCCCTGAGAGCTTTCCCACCACGATCCGTGACCTCCTTGGGGGTCCCCCGCTGCCATGACAGGAGGTCTCTGATGGCAGCAGGAAAGCTCTTAGGGCTTCCCCACCGCTATCGGAGACCTCCTGGGGATCCTATCGCAGCGGTGGAAAAGGGCAGGAAATTTAAAATTGCTCCCCTGCTGCCACGATCAGACCCACAGGAGTTCTCTGATGGCGGCGGGGGAGCTCTCAGGGCTTCCCTGCCGCAAGAGCGTCCAGTGGTGGGAAACCCTGGGAGCTTCCCCGCCTCCATCGGAGACCTCTTGGGGGTCCCTTTTCCTAACTGTTGGGGTGAAAGAGCAGCCTCTTCACCACCAACAGTTTGAATGGAACGAAAAAAAGGCAGGGGAAATTTGCATTGCCCACCCTCTTCCCCTGCCTTTTTTCATTCGTAGGTTGAGGCTCCGTTCGCAAGTCGAAGCAGATTTTGTGAACGGAGCCGTTGATAAGTCAAATCGTTTGCAGGTAGGGACGTTCGTAAGTCAAGGTCCCACTGTATGTACAATATTTGTTATTAAAATAGCATTCACCATAATTCATGCTTTTCAGCACCTAGGAACCAATCCCACACAGATACATGGGTCCTACTGTATACAGCACGCACACACACTAAAACACAGATACATGGGTCCTACTGTATACAGTACACACACACACTACGCATAAATGGAAAATGCTTTCTGTACTGCTCTAGCACAAATGGATGAAGCCTACCTGTTCTTCAGGTGGAATGCCTGTCTTGTCTCGTATTGACTTCATACTATGCAGAAACTACAAAGAGAATACGTTTTAGTTAGGAGGCACATTGCATGTTAAACAAAATAGAAGCCTTGACATCTTTACAATTTCTAAAATGCTGAGTTCTCATTTGAATTCAAGTCACATGTGAACACCAATCAAAGCTTTTCCTCTCTACCAAAGCTCCTCTGAAACCTAGTTGCTTCCTTAAATCCAGAGTGCCTAGCAATGCCTTTCAAACTGTGTCCTATGAAACTACAGACTTCAGCAACTACTAGATTGGAAAAGGCTCTAAGAAAATCACTCCATGTTACAACATTGTACTGGACTGATACATCTTATATGTAGCACAAACGGCCACTTTCTTGTAAAGCTTTAATTATAAAGACTATAAATGACACCATATGGGCAAGAGGAAGGCTAGGACGGTTATTTTCTCTTCCTTCCATGCACCCACATAAACACATGCACACATGACTTTGCTGCCATGACATTCCTTCTTCACAAACATCCTGCCAACCCTGCATATTCTGGCATTGCTAATGAGTCAGGTTTCATTTCTCTGGGCTGCAGAAATGAGAAATAAGACTGATGTGCTACTACAAATGGGGGCGGAAAAAGGCAACTCCTCATTTAGTTGGTTTTCTATTACCAGTTGATCACCTTTTGCCAAAGTAGAATATTCAAATGTGATAGGCACAGGGTCAAAACAGACAAGAATAAAGGTTTAATTGGGCAACAGCAATAACCATTCACGGATTGCTGCCTTGCCATGGCAAAGGGGGCTTGAGTAATTCAGAGAAGCTATAGGCTATGCCGTGCAGGGACACCCAAGATGGACAGGTCACTGGCAAGCCACTCCAGTATCTTTGTCAAGAAAACTCCACGGACAGAAACAAAATACTAAAAGATATGACACTGGAAGATGAGCCCCTCAGGTCAGAAGGCATCCAACATACTACTGGGGAAGAGCGGAGGACAAGTACAAGCAGCTCCAGAGCTAATGAAGTGGTTGGGCCAAAGCTGAAAGGACGCTCAGCTGTGGGCGTGACTGGAAGTGAAAGGAATGTCTGATGCTGCCAAAAAAAAAAAAAAACCTGCATAGGAACCTGGAATGTGATATCTATGAACCTTGGGAAGCTGGATGTGGTCAAACAGGAGATGGCAAAAATAAACATTGACATCCAGGGCGTCAGTGAACTAAAATGGATGGGAATGGGCAAATTCAATTCAGACAATTACCATATCTACTATTGTGGGCAAGAATCCCGTAAAAGAAACGGAGTGGCCCTCATAGTCAACAAAAGAGTGGGAAAAGCTGTACTGGGATACAATCTCAAAAATGATAGAATGATTTCAATATGAATCCAAGGCAGACCTTTCAACATCACAGTAAATCAAGTTTATGCACCAACCACCGATGCTGAAGAGGCTGAAATTGACCAATTCTATGAAAATTTACAAGACCTTCTAGAACTGACACCACAAAGAAAGATGTTCTTTTCATTATAGGGGACTAGAATGCTAAAGTAGGGAGTCAAGAGATAAAAGGAGCAACAGGTAAGGTTGGACTTAGAGTTCAAAACAAAGTTTTGTCACTAGAACAAGCTGGTCCTCACAAACACTCTTTTCCAACAACTCAAGATATGACTCTACACATGGACATCACCAGATGGGCAATACCGAAATCAGACTGATTACCGTATTTTTCCGTGTGCAAAACACTTTTTCCTAAAATAATTAGAGGAAAAATTTAGCGTTCTTTTATACACAGAAGCAGTCGCGCACACGCTCGGGCGCCTCTTCCTGCCGCCACCACTGCCCAATTGCCTCTTCCAGACTTCATAGCTTGTCCCCTCTGGTAGCCCCGAGGCAGCAGCAGCAGCAGGAGGCGGAGGCGAAGGAGGATTCACATGCACTTGGGCACCTCTTGCTGCTGCCTTCCCTGCCCGTCCACCTACCTCCTCCAGTGCGACTGCCGGGGCTCACCTCCAGCTCACGTCACCTGCCTTGTCCCCTCCTGCTGCCACCGCCAGATCATCTCCTCCCACAATCTCCTTAGGGCAGGGAACAAAGCAGAGACGTGAGTACAGGTAAGCCCCGGCAGTTGGCAGTCACACTGGAGGAGGTAATTGGGCAGGCAGCGGAGACAACAGCAGCAGGAGATTGAGGAGCAGTTGCCCATTAACTGCTGCTCCACCTCCATCAAGACTCAAAATCAGGGGGTCATTTTATACATTGAGGGGTCATATACATGGTAAAATATGGTATGTTCTCTGCAGCCAAAGATCAAGAAGCTCTATACAGTCAGCAAAAACAAGACCTGGAGCTGATTGTGGCTCTGATCATCAGTTTCTTATAGCAAAGCTCAAGCTTAAACTGAAGAAAGTAGGAAAAACCACTGGGCTACTCAGGTATAATCTAAACCAAATTCCTTATGAATACACAGTGGAAGGGAAGAACAGATTTAAGGAACTAGATTCGGTGGACAAAGTGCCCGAAGAACTATGGATGGAGGCTCGTAACATTGTACAGGAGGCAGCAACTAAAACCATCTCAAAGAAAAGGAAATGCAAGAAAGGCTTTACAAATAGAAGAGAAGAGAAGGGAAATAAAATGCAAGGGAGACAG